AATTGAGGGGCTGGGGGGCAGGTCGGGGGGGGCCAGGGGACGAGAAGGGGCCGTCCCGAGCACTCACTGCACCAGGTGGGAGGTCAGCACCTCCTTGCAGATGGGCTGCTCGGCCAGCGTCAGCCAGAACTCGCAGGCCTCCAGCGCCACGTTCTCGTCGCTGTCCTGTGTCCGCTGCAGCATGTACTGCAGGGGGCAGGGGGGCACGTCAGCCCCCCAGCTCACCTGTCTGGGGGTCCCAGGGACACCCACCTGGCCTCTCTGCCTCACCTGGATGATGCTGTGCATGTGAGGGATGAGGCGGTCGATGCGGACCTCCAGCAGCATCACCAGCGCGCGGCACACATTCTTCCGCACCTCGGGGTCCTCGTCCACCGCCAGAGCAAAGAGGTGCTGTGGGGGGGGACACACGAGCCCATTTACTGGCGTCTGCCCTCGGGGCCATGCCAGGGGGGCTCCCAGGGGTTCCCCCCACCTAGCTGCTCACCTCGATGAAGGTGTCGATGTTCTCCATCAGCGCCTGAGCCCGGTCCATGATGAACTGGTTGACACAGGCGATGGCGTGGGACCTGGGGGGAGACAGACCATGGCGGGGGGTGGTCTGGCAGGCTCGTTAGCTAACGATGCAAAGCCAGGAGGGGGGTTCAGCCCAGCCACCTGCCCCTCCTGGACTCCCAGCACTGAATTAACTCACGAGAGAGAAATGTGCTCTGGGCTGAATAATCTCTTGTCCCAGTCCAGACTTGGGAACACACACACACAGGCTTCCCATGGGATGATGTGGGGACATGGGGATGGGCTGAGCTGGAGCTGCCCAGCCTGGGGGGGGCCCAAATCCCCATGTCAGCCCAGTGCAGGTACAGAGAAGAGCCAGACCACCCATCGCGGGGAGGGACAGAGACAAGGGGACCCCGAGGCAAACCACAACCAGTGGCAGGGGGCACAGGAACAGCTCCCACCTCATTGAACAGCCATATAATAGCTCTGGCCACAGCCCCCCAACATTCCCACCCGGCTGGCCCCCCCCCCAACCCCTCTGCACCCAACCGTGGGACTGCAGGGGGACACGTGTGCCCCCCGTCCAGCATACACATACCTGATCTTAGGGCTGCAGTGCTTGAAGAACTGGAGGAACTTGGGGATCATGACGTTGAGCGGCCGGTTGAGCGCATCGCTGTCCAGGAGCTCAGAGGAGTCCTCGCAGATCTTCTGCAGGGCCCCGAACGCCCCCTGCGCGCCAGAGGGGCGTCAGAGCTGGTCGCAGCCCCCCCGGACCCCCCAGCCGGCCCCGCGCACCTCGCATGTGTTGTAGTCCTCCGAGTTGAGCAGGTTGCAGAGCTGCGGCAGCAGCTCCGGCCACATCTGCAGCTCCCCCTTGGAGGCGATGGTGGTGATGAGGATGCCTGTGGACGGGTCGTTAGCGCGGGGAGGGCTGAGGGTCCCCGGGGGGGGCCCCTGCCCCGTCTCACCGATGGTGGCCCGGATGAGGGAGGATGCATCCCCGATGTTGTTGAGACACTCCTGCTTGATGAACTCGGCCACAGGCTGGGGGAAGCTCTGGTAGTGCGCCTTGACATTGTTCTTCAGGATCAGGCCGCTGAGCGAGCGTGTTGGCTCATCTGGGGGGGGGGCGTGAGTTGTTAAGGGGGGGCTGCAACATTCATCCTCTCCCCTTCTACCTCCCTGAGCCTGAAACAGGCGGGCTCAGCTCCTGCATCCACCTCTGCCACCCCCCAAATGCCTCTGCCACCCTCCTGGGACCCAGCAGACCCCAAACCCCCCCCCCACTGGCCGCAGAGCAACCCACCTTCAGACTTGAGCCGCGTAAGCACGAAGATCAGGTAATTGTTGAAGTCGGGGAATTGGTTCAGCTGCTTCAGCTTCTGCCCCAGGCGGTTAAGGACTGGGACGAGGACGGGGATGGGGACGCTGCCCCGCGACAAGAACAGGGACAGGAATGCTGTCCCGGATTAATGTGGCCGAACCCCAGGCCCCCCCCCCCGCCCCGTTCCCCAGGTCCAGCCCCTCTGGAGCTCAAGCCGGCCTGGTCTCCTGTGGCTACTGACCCCGTTAACAGAGGAAATCCCCAATTCTTCTTTCCCCGGCTCAAATGGGGATAGGCACATGTGTGTGCC